ATCAGTCATGTGATATCTGGCTATCTTAACCACTAAGCCACAAGACAGGCTTGAAGCTGAATTTTTAATGGAAATTTTTACAAGAGTTTTCCTGTACTCAAAAGCAAGTCAAGTACCTAAGAGCAAGTTTTGTCTCAGAGGGATAATTGCTATTTGTGGAAGAGGAACAAAAAAAAAGCCATAAACCTCTGGGTGCGGGAGGTTCTCCTAATGGGGTTTGCCACTTTTCATAACACATCCCTGTCTTTCTGGTGAGCACACACGCCATATAGCAAAAACTTCTCCAAAAAAAGAAAAAGAAGAAGAAGAAGAAGAAGACGAAGACGAAGACGAAGACGAAGACGAAGACGAAGACGAAGACGAAGACGAAGACGAAGACGAAGACGAAGACGAAGACGAAGACGAAGACGAAGACGAAGACGAAGAAGAAGAAGAAGAAGAAGAAGAATATAGACTAAGTTCTTGAAAGTAAGTTTGCAAGGAAACACTCTGTGGTATCTGGTTGGCACATGCCCAGCGTTGGCCATGAGAGACCTGATATGCAGAACTGGGAGGGAGGGACTGGGGTGTCATGGCAACTGGCTGTTTGCCACTCCCTGGAGTGGCTCTGGGGCTGGCAAGCAGGAAGGATGTAGCCGTTGCTGGCACCTTGGGGATGTTTTTCTGGTATTGCTGTGATTACTTTATTCCCCTTATTTTTAAAAATCTCCTTTCTGGAGCCCAGCAGGTGGTTTGGTGGTTGAGGTGCTGGACTCCCACATGGCCAACCATGGTTTGAGTCTTGGACCTGAAGTCTTGTTTTCTCAATCTCTCTCTCTTTCTCTCTGGTGAGTACACATGCCCTATAGCAAAATTAAAAATCATAATAGTAATAATTCTTTTTAAAAATCTTTTTGAACTTAAACCAGTTGTAACTACTGAATTGATCTTTATTTCTTATTTATTCAGCAATTCAATTCTTTGTAAAATCCTACAAATGAGGAGTCTGCCCCCACAGAGCTGATATTCTAGAGGTGAAAGAAAAATAGAACAAAATGAATGATGATTTTAGATCATGAGAACCTCCTTGAAGAAGATAAAGTAGAAGAAAAGAGCAATTTGGGCAGCAGGTTGGGGCAGGCCCAGTGGATGTACAAAAACCTCTCAAAAAAAAAAAATGTTTCCCATCTCCAAGTTAAACTAGTTATTCTGTATAAGACTATTTCCCTTTTTAAAAAAAGTTTGTTTTGCTACATTGTTAAGGAAGGTCTTTCTATTAAGCTTCAGATGAAATTGAATTTCCTGTTTTAAGGCTCCTTTCTATGTGCTACTCCCAGGTAGCTTTTGCACTCACCTGCTTTGGCTCCAACAATACCTTGTATCCAGCCTACACAGCATTTTCAGTATTTTGTAACAGTTTGCTGATTTGTCTTTCCCACTGAACTCTGAGCTTAAAAAAGAACTTTTTTTCTCTTGTTCATCTCTGGAAACTTAAAGCTTAGAATCAGACATATGTTTATGGAATTGAGAATAAATGAGTGCTTCCTCTCCCTGTTCATAAGCTAGGCATAACCTCTGCACTTCCGATTCTTTTTGAAAGGATCAAAGTAGATTCATGTAAGACAATTTAGTTTATCTCATTGGAGCTTCGCATGTACTCATGCGCTCGTAGATCTTTTGGACATTTGGAACTTAAATTCTAAGGTGCATGTGAATTTTATGGTTAGGCTACATTTGTTGAGCTGCTGGGACTTAACCACTTTAATGGATTCCTTTATGATTGCTGCGAGCTTTAATGATGTCCCACCTATGTCAGATGAAAATGTCACTGCGACTGAGACAAAATTCAGCAGCATTCCTGTGTGTGTATGTGTCAAACAGAAAGTCAGAAGTTCTTAAGGAGGAATGTGTTTTCTATCTGTGGTGGTGGCTGGTGTTTGAGAAGTGCTGGCAAGTGAACTCAATCTGAGGGTGTGTATAATGCCTTAAGGTAGTTTATGCAAAAAAGTTCTTGCCGACTATAGCGTGAACCCAGAGACCACTGGTATGTCTGGAGGTAGAACAAGAGGGAATTTAGCTCTAGTAGTGACTCCACAGATACGATACTATTTCTTTTTTTAAAAAAAATAAGTCAACTGGACTGGTGTGAAATGTATTCATGCTGGGTAAATTCACTTTACAAGCTAAGTGATATATAGTGATTGAATGTATAAAATAAATTTAAATTTTAAAATTAAAAAAATTAAGTCTATTAATAAGGTGATTTAATATATGTGCTATATTAATGCAAAAAATAAGTATAGTAGTTGTATTGATTTATTAGAAAACGTTGAGAAGAAATCCCTAAAACATCAAAACAGCAATCTCCGTTGTTCCTTAATAAAATTAGAATTCCCTGAATAAAGCATTAGTTGAAAACTGTATTCAGGACAGCAAGACATTGTACTTGTCAGATGAGTGAAGTAACATAATTGTAAGACCTGATCTTATCATCCTAGCAGAGGTTGAGATAGACTCAGTCTTCAATGGAATGTTTCTCTGTTGCCAGAATAATCACACTAGTTTTAGAAAATTACCAGCACATTCAAGAATTTTTTTACTATTTACGTAGAAGAAATATGAAGAATCCAAAAGACTTCTTTAATGTATATGTAAAATCATATATTTTTATGTTTTCATTTAATAAGGGTAATGTCATCATAATAGTAATAAATAGCATTTTTCATTCCAGATTCATTTTGTGCTTATTACAGAGAAAAAAATACTACTATTGATTGTTTAAAGCCTCAACTATCTCCCAGGTAGTAGTAGGAGTCATGAATAGAAGGTCTTTATAAACTACATATAGAGAAGTTTTGATTAGTTGATAGAGAAAGAGGGAGAAGAGAAAGCAACCTCCAATGGGACATGGTAACACCACAATTCCTTCTCCATTTCTCCATCCTGTTGGGATTTGGGGCACACATGCATACATGGATTGGAATGGAATTTGAACTGCTGTGGGACATGTGGGATCTGGCTCCCTCAACCACTAGACCAGAGAGCTGGCCTGCATGATAATTCTTACTGTAAATAGTCACTTTTCTGTCTTTCTTTTTCACTCTGTTTTCATTCAATATTCCAAACTAATGATCTGCTATTTCTGAGACTTCTCTTACACTGCTAATATTAATTTTTAACTATCTTATTTTCTAATATTCTCTCTTTTGTGAGTGTTGAGTATTATTTACAACTGGAGGGGAATAAATGTAAGCTAATACCGACTGCCTGAGTAAGATTTTAATCAATTCATATTTAGAGTCCACAATATTCTTACTACAGCTGGGTTCCCAAACTCAGTAATATTTGAGATATAGGAGGATTTAACATTCATTGACTATGCCAACATCCATTCTTCCTTCACTCCCTTCATGTCTTCATCCTCTAAAATATGTTGTGTGGTCAGACTATGTGCGGTAAGTTCCCTCGCATCCCTTCTTACCCACTCATCTGTGAGAACATCAACGTTGACAAGTTCTGTCTTCCTGCCTACCCTGCACATGGACCTATGCAGCTAAACTTAGTTGAAAGGAAACCAGAAAAGTGCTGAAATTCCCCTCTATAGTCACGGCTGCGAAGATCAAGTACACTCTCACTCATCTTGTAATCAAGCTATGATTCCCCCTCAAGGGAGATTTTTGTTTTTAACAATTCAAATCCCCAGAACTTCCTCAGCCACTCTTTAGCTCAGCCAAGCCCTTGCTGGCCATTTCACTGAGAAAACAGACACGATTCCAGACAAATTGCACAAGTTCTCACTCTGCACTGACCACAGTGCCAATGTCTTCACCTACTTAGTTTCTCTCGCATTATTACAGACAAAAATAAACATTCACACATCTGTGTAAAGATAATTTTCCTCTATATGTGTCGTCTGTTATTGGGATACTCAAAGGAGTTATCCCAGGAATTCGCAGCTTTTAGTTCTGCATTGCCATTTTGTCCCTCTCTATGGATCATCACCATGAACAGTATGTTTCTTTTCATATATATCAACAACAACAACAAATTTTTATTTCTCCAGCTTCTTTCTTTCTTTTCTTAATTTATGGGTACCCCTCGGCCCTAATTGTGGCCAATAGTGGTTACATCTTTTAGGTGGAGGTGTGACTGTCCTCTGCCCTTAAGTGTGGCCCTCTTGACTTTGATTATATTTTGGGGCAGCAATTTCCATGGAGACAAACTTACCAGTTTACAGTTTCCATTAGATCTGGATGTTTAAAATTTCAAACCTAGGAATTGCCCTGCCTTGGATTTTTGACTCCTATTGTCCTTTTTGTGTATCTTAGGGTTACAATGTTAGTTTTGACTAGACAAAGGGCAGGGAGGAATGTAGACTTCTCTCAGGTTGGAGTAGGCTGATCGGTTTCAAATCCCATTCCTTTGTCAATGTTCTATCACGAATCCCTTCTGCTATCTAGTCTTTCCTATTACCTAACCAGGGTCTGCCTCACAATTATCATCAATATTTTTATGACTCCACTCTCAAAAAATGATCAAAATTGCTAATATTTGTGTCTCCTGTCAAATAATGCAAATTCTGTGGAGGCAGAGACAATGACTATTTTGTTTCCTATATATTCAGCATTTAGAAATATATTCACTTGTTTCCCCCATTCCAAGATGTGCAATTTTAAAACAAAGATTCTGCATCCTGTATGTTATCTATGAATGATTTTGTTAAAGAATCTTCCTTCAATTTCTAGCTCAATATATGCTTGTTTAATTAAATATTCCTAAGAATGTGAACTTGACAGAACTTGCCCAAGTTTCTGATTATTCATTGAACCTTTAATGTGAACCCAACATGATTGTTTTTGGATTACCAATAAAATTTTAACTTTATTATACTGACTCTTAAACTAAACAAGCAACTCTTTATTTAAAAGGTAAGATAAAGTTTCTGGGTGGAGCTGAAGCATTCTGGTGGTTAAACCATTCGGTCATATCATGTAAGTTTATTTTCTCTGTTTGCAAAGACAGAGAGGCACAGCAGCTACAGCATGGGAAGAAAATCACTGTATCTTCTGATTGTGGGGATCCTTGCAGCCTGTTATATTTATACGCCTCTCCCCGATAACACTGAAGAGCCATGGAAAATGATGTGGTTGAACACATATCAGAAAACTATAGCATATTTGGTAAGTTTGGAATTTTATGAAATCAGATGTGTATACACAACCATTTGATCTGGAGAAGTCAAATTTTCAGGATTCTTTTGATCATTGATTTGTCTTTTCAATTAAATGCTGTAGAGTTTGTTCATTGTTTAGAGACACTGCTTGTCTGCTTTCTTTCCATTTCATATATTATCATCCTATTTTAAAATATCAAGAAAATGAAGGGAGGAGTCATTTGAGAAGGGGTCACTGATAAATACTTTATTTAGATAACATCAGTGTAATAATAGGGGTCATCTTTTGAAATCATCTTAGAGACCAGAAGAACAAAAAGCACTTAGAAGCAACCTGTGTGCCAAGGGAAATGTTTTCTGGAAGAGACAGTAATGTAAAAATCCCAGCTAGAAAATACCAACAAGTTAAAGAAATTACATGAAACCTTTGAGATGGATGAGGAAGTTGTTCCGGTTTAGTCTGGAGAAGTCAACTGCCCAGGGATGTGAACTGCAGTAGCCTTTAGTCTGGAGAAGTCAACTGCCCAGGGATGTGAACTGCAGTAGCCATATGGAATGCAGTTTCTCTTGGGCAGCACATTGGAGCAATGCTATGGAGCAGCCCCTATATATTTTTTTTTAATAATCATATATCTCTAATTATATATACAATGTTTTTCTTCTTCTCTAGTAGCCTTTTTAAAAAGATTTTTTCCATGATTTGTGTAGTGTAAAGTATTTCAGAGTTCTTAAAAGATACACATTATTTTTTAAAAACAATGATTTTTAATGTCTTTTCTTAGTACTGATTTATGTGTTTTGTATTTTATTTGTGTAGTTGTTGTTTGGATGATTTGTTTCTTATGACCTATTATCCTCTTGGCTCACTTTGTTTTTACTGGTTAATCTGTCTGACTGAAAATATCTAGAAATCTTTGATAATCTTTTCATACGTTCTGTTGAACAATTATGCTATAAGCATTAAATCAAGGATCAAAATGTTGCATTTATAATCTTGGCGAAACTCACATAACAACTGTGTAAGCAGAAACTGCTTATTTAAACTTCCTAGGCTTACTGTCCACGTCTCTGAAATAGTTATGCTAATATTACCTAACCCATACATAGGTGAGTTATTTAAGTCATTGAGATCAAATCCCGGAGTGTTGAGGGTACTGACCTGTCAGAGGGAATGGACAGGTGGCAGGCAGTCAGGCCAGCCTTTCCTTTTCTGCTACCCATTCATTCCCTCCCCACTTCCTCCCCTCCTTTTGACCTGCACCAAGATTGATAGCCATTAGCAAAAGCCGCCCATCTCTACATTTAGCTATTTCTTCCTATAAAAACATTTTTCTTTCTTCTATTTTTGTTTCTTAATCCATTTAGCTAAATTCTTAAGAAAGGTAATTCTGTCAAGCTCCATATGTTTATAACAGTTTGCTAATCTGAAGTTCTTGAGAAGATCATTTTTGTTGTTCATCTTGGTACAGATCCAAACACATTTGTGTAAAATAAAGACTAAATGCATGCTGTCCCTCCCTGTTAACAACCACTGTAGGCGTAAGCACTACACTTCTAGTTCTTCTGAAAGGATCAAAGAGCCTTCATGGAAGACAATTCATTTTATTTCATCTGAGCTAAATGCGTATTCATGTGCTCACAGATCTTTTGACATTTGGAACTAGATTTCTAAAATTTATGTGAATTTTGGTTTGAGGCTTCATTTGTTGAGCTGCTTGGACTGAACCATTTTATGGATACTTTTAATACCATCATGAGTGTAAATGACGTCCCACCTACCTCAGATGAAAATGTCACTGTGACCGAGACAAAATTCAACAACATTCCTGTTCGTGTATACGTGCCAAAGAGGAAGTCAGAAGCACTAAAGAGGGGTGTGTTTTACATCCATGGTGGAGGCTGGTGTTTGGACAGTGCTGGTAAGTGAGTGTTTTGACCAGTCTCTACTGAGCTAGACTGAACAATGTAGATGTCATAAAGTGATAATATAAGTCCTAATAGACTGGAGTCATCAAGGTTGGGTATAAAGGTTGAAAGATTTTTGAACTATGGAATTAAGAGAAATAGAAATATATTTATAAAATCCCTGGCATAGAAGTCCCAATCTGAGAATATCACTCAACCCATTCAAGTTCCAGAGTTTTTTGAGATCCTTCTGTTTACCTCCAATGAATATAATATAGATTAACTGCGAGAGTAGAGTTTGGCCTGGATCTGAACTCTCGAGAGGGAGAATAAATTAGTCTAGACATGAGAAGCTACAGGTTTGAAGTTAAACAAAATTTCTCAATTTTGTGGGAAGTTAGGAGGGAGAATGGGATAGGGAGGGAAGATGAGAGCAAGAAAGAAAGAGAAAGAGACATTATAGGTGGAAGAACAAAGGCAGATCCTTGAGGAGACAGACAGGGTTGAGCAACCAACAAAGAAGAGAAAAGTAGTTGAAGTGGTCTCAAAATGAAAAGGAATCCAAAGACATTGAGAGATACATGAAAGAGGGATTAATAAGAAGAGAAGGAACCAGCAGTTAGCATAATGGCTATGTCACTGAACTCCCATGTAGTGAGTGGACTGCGGTTCGCGTCCCGGACCCGGTGGCTTAAACTCACGTAAGGCACATGTACGTGTGTGCCCAAGATCTGGAGAGGAGAATGGAGGAGGAAGGATTGCGGCGTGGCCTTCTCCCCTGGGGAGTGATTTCTCGCTTTCTGTCTCTCTGTCTCTCTCTTTCTGGCGAGTGCACGTGCCCTATACCAAAAACCATTTAAAAAAAAAAATAGATAATGAGAGAGAGAAGAAGAAGGAAAGAAGGAAAATAATATATTACATTAAACAAAACTTGAGCAATAAGGAAATGATGAGAATGATTGATGGCTTTAGAAGGAGTTAACTGTGAAAGGAATAAATCAGAGAATGATAGATTGTAGATTGAAAGGAGAGATAAGTAGTATAATCTTATTATATATTTTATTTAGGAGAATTTTTTTTAAAGTTTGGTAGATTAAAGGTAGTGAATGTAATTGATAGAAATCTGTTTGAAAAGAGATGGACTGAGAGGGCTGAGGCTGGATAGATTTACCAATGAAAAACGGAGGAAAAGTATTTCATTGGTAAAATAATTCATTGCAGATAGTAAGCTTGAAGAAAGATTAGAGAAGCATCAAATCATCCTCCTAGATAAGAAAACAGAAGCGTAAAGTCAGATCTCAGCTAGATACATTTTTTGATAGCACAGAGACAAGCAGTAAATGAGAGGGTTCCAGTTTTGTGTTTTAAAGCAGCATAAAAGCCACTTCCATTCGGGTATTTTTGTTTGTTTCCTATTGTCGTATGCAGATTTAGGTGGTCTTTCTACCTTAGTTTCTATTTCTCCTAGATTCACATTATCTGGCAACTCATTGATCAAGCCAGGTATTGTGTATCCATTATCTAAAATAGAACCAAGTTAGTTTCTTCTCTAGTCAGGGAGCAAAGGTCAGTGTTCTAGAGAAAGAAGCTGGATCAGGAGGGTCAGTGACTTGACTAATCCATGCACTGTATTTGTGTTGGGAAAATCATGTTGTCCACTGTAAAGATATATAGTGATTAAATGAAAATTAAAAGAATAATAGCAAGCAAACAAAGGGTCAATGATAAAATGTGCCGGACAAAAGAGAGAAGATGAACAATTCGGAGGTTATCTGGAAAACTCCATTTCCACTGAGCTATGGATAGGTGGTGTCTTACAGATAAGCAGATCAGTGTAAATTTATCTTTCTCATGTTTTAGTGTGGAAATATGTAGGGAATAAGCACAATAGGATGTTTTGTAAAGAAAACATTGTCCTCTTCATTTGTCCATTCTCTCTTAACATCTTTCTTTTATTCTTTTTATTTTAGCTTCAGAAAGTTATGACCAGCTGTCAAGATGGACAGCAGACAGACTTGATGCTGTTGTTATATCAACCAAGTAAGGGCTGTGCTGTGTTGTGTTCAGGTTAGATGCCTTGTGTACCAAGAGTGTCTGAGCTTTCATGGCTGCATGACTGAGCTTGCCTTGTGTACCAAGAGTGTCTGAGCTTTCATGGCTGCATGAGTATGTCAAAAATGACGGTTTTTCTAATAACACTAAGACTAAGTAGGTCATTGAAAGTGAATGTTAGAACTGTATGTGAGTTTATGAAGGAAGGAAGAACAGAAATTATAGAACTCTTTTTCTTTTTTATTTAAATTTAAACTATTATTCATGGACATCACTGCTTGGACTGTATTTCAACTAAACTCTTAATTCACACTTTTGTTAAGAATGAGTGCCCTGAATCACAGAGGGTGATTTTAAAGACTGAGCTATAACATCACCCAAACAAACTTAGTCAAGTGCATAGCACTTGATGAGATTAAATATTAAAATATGTTATTAGATTAAACAAAGTCAATGAGTTTGCATAAAATAGTGTGTTGATTCAATCAATCATGTTTGAAAAGAATATGCTGGGACAATAATATAAGGGGTGGATTTCAAGACAGACATATTCCAGAGCTGCATATACCCACTGATGGTAAAACTTAAGAGAAAGAAGAAAAAGGTAAATAACACGATCATGACCACATGCCAAGTTAAATCAGTATTGTGCAGTTGTATAGTCATGCTTTATATTTGCTTGTAAGTTATCACTAATACATTCAGCAATTACATTATTTTTAAAGTAATTATAAAATCCAAGCTTATGCTGAGTATGTATTTCAACTTTTAAAAAAAAATTTATCTCAGTTTATATTTAATCATATATATCTTTATAGTGTACAACATTGCTTTTTCCAGCATGAATACTATATATATCAGTCAAGACAAAGACATTGATTTATACATTATCATCAGCAAATAGCTTTTCATTTTTGTGTCAATTAAATGTACCTTTTTTTTTCTTCTCATGTTCCCCTCCAACTACCCCTGTCCCTACTATCTCTAGTGGTATCTACAATTGTCCTCCCTGCCACAATAGCTTCCAAACTTTCAGTTTCTGCTAAAGAGCACAGACAATAGGTATATATTGAGTGGGGACATACAAAGTCTATCTTTCATACTCTGGCTTGCTTCACTTAGCATTAAGTCTTCCATATTTGTCCACTTGGTATCAAATGTTAGGGTCTCATTTTATTTTTATGACTGAGTAGTATTCCATTGAGTACATATGACACATTTTTTTTTTCAACTCAATCTTCTATTTTTGGACATCTTGGTTCAGTCCATGTCCTAGCCATTATAAAAAATGCTGCAATAAACATGGACATGCAAGTGGAAAACTTCTATAATTGTAAAGTCATTTAGGTGTAGGTTCTTAAGTTTCCATATGTTTGTGTATTTTCAAGGGCTCTGTCTATAGTTGATTTCATCATGGTTGGAAAAGATGCTAGATATAATTTCTATACCTTTGAACTTGTAAAGGCTTGTTTTGTGCCCTATCAAGTAATCAATCTTCAAAAATGTTCCATGGGGTGAGAAAATTGTATATTTTGTGGTAGTTGGGTGAAATAGTCTGTAATGTCTGTAAAGTTCATTTTATGTATGGTATCTTTTAGATCTTGTATCTCTTTGTTTATTTTTTTTTTGTCTAGATGATCTGTCCAGAGGAGTCAGTGGGGGGTTGAGATTCCCTACAATTATTGTGTTGCAGTCTCTCTCTCCCTTGAGATCTAACAGTCTCTCTTTGATGTATTTAGGTGTTCCTGTGTTGGGTGCATAGATATTTACAAGTGTTATATCTTCTTAGGAAACAAGTCCTTTTAGTACTATATGTACTAATGTCTTTCATTGTCTCTTCTTACATCTTTTATCTTAAAGTCTGTTTTGTCTGATACCAACATCACTACTTCAACCTTTTTTTTTTTTTTTGGTTTCCTTTTCCATGGGATATTGTTGCTGACCCCTTAACTTTCAGACTACGTGTGACCTTACCAATGAAGTGTGTTTCTTGTAAGGAGTATATAGATGGCTTCTGTTTTTGTAAACACTCAACCAGTCTATGTATTTTAATGGGAGAATTTAACCCATTAACATTCAATGTTATTATTGAAAGTCATAGATTTATCCCTGTCATTTTGCTAGCCATTTTCTCAGTTGATTTTTGTTCTTCTATTTCTGTTCTTCTCTCTTTAGTTAAATTGATACAACACTCTCCTCAGTACTTCCTGTAGAGCTGGTCTAGTATTGGTGAATTATTTCAGTATTTGTTTATCCGATAATTTTATTTGTTTTTCCCATTTGAAGGATAATCTTGCTAGATATAATATTCTTGGGTTGCAATTGTTTTTCTTTCAGTGTTTTGAATATATTGTCTCATTCTTTCCTTGCCTGCATTGTTTCAGTTGAGAAGTCTTATGTTAGCCTAATGTGATAAGCTTTATAAGTAAGTTGATATTTCTCCCTTGCCATTTTTGGAATATTGTCATTGTCTTTAATTTTTACCAATCTGTCTATGATGTGCTGGGGGGAGGATCTTTTTGTGTAGATTCTATTTGGGGTTCTATTTCTTGGGTTTGGATGTCTCCATGTTTCTCTATATTTGGAAATTTTTCAGATAGTATTTCATGGAAGAGGTTTTTCATGCCTTTAGCAGATTCATCATCTTGTGGAATACCCATTATATGGATATTTGGGCATTTCATTGTGTCTAGAATTTCCCGTATGTTGTTCTCATTTTTTTTTTTTTTGTGAGTTTTTTCTTTTTTTTTGTTTTTTTTTTTTGGTAGCTTTTTCATTCTTTTTGGTGATTTGGTTTATGCTGAAGACTTTGTCTTCAAGGTCAGAAATTCTTTCTTCTGCATGGTCCAATCTCCTGTTAATTGCTTTCTAAGGAAGTTTAAATTTCTTGCATTGTATTCTTCATTCAGAAGTTTTAGTTGATTCTTTTTTAGGGTGTCTATTCATTTATGCAATTCCTCTCTCATATTGTGAAAAGATTTTCTCAATTCCTGAAGTGATTGTTTTCTTTTGCATCTAATTGAGTTTTGTTAATATGAATATTCCCAATTCTTTTTCCGACATTTCTATGTATTTCTCTGTTGGTGAGGGACTACTATGCTCATCTGGGGAATAGTAACCACCTTATTTTCTCATGTTTCTTCAGAATCTGTGCTGGTTCTTAGTCATCTGATGCAGTATTCCCTTTTTTCTATTTATTGGAGTAGATTCTGTAGTATTGATAGAAGAAATTTCAGCCTTAGTTCCCAAGTATGTTCTATTGGAGGGCTCTGTCTCCAAGGTCAGAGCAGTTTGGGTACTTCAGGTGCTTGGCTCCTTTATTAAACATTCAGCTCTTGGTGAGGGGTAGCAAGCTAAGAAGATGAAACGGTGAAGAGGATCAAGTCACACAGCACACTAGTTGGTGCACCAGAAGTCCCAAAGTTGTTCTCAGGCCCCAAGCACCAATTCAGCAAAGGAGGACTGATCAGACCAAGCTCAAGTCTCCCATTGGCAGGTGGGGCCAGTCCAGGCCACCAGAGCAGTGAGCAAAATAATCAGAAAGTTCTAATGTTTGTCCCAGGCTCCGGGCGCAGACTCACCCAAGGAGGCCTGCCCAGATCAGGTTCAGGTCTCCTGGTGGGTGGGCAGGACAAGCCCAGCTTTACTTTTAAAAATTATTTTTTCAAAGGTGGTAAGTCAGGGACCAGCAGTTGACGTAATGGCTATGTCGTTGGACTCCCATGTAGTTGACCGCGGTTTGAGTCCTGGATCCAGTGGCTTAAACTCACTCCGGGCACGTGTGTGTGTGTGTGTGTGTGTGTGTGTGCCCAAGATCCCGAGAGGAGAATGGAGAAGGGATTGTGGCATGGCCATCCCCTCAGAGGGTGATTTCTCACTTTCTGTCTCTCTGTCTCTCTCTATTTCTGGCAAGCACAGGCACCTTATAGCAAAAATTTCTCCAAAAAAAAAAAATGATGGTAAGTCAAATGACACTACAAGACATATATCTGTGTTTGATTCCTTGATGTATAAATAATGTGTACTTAAGAAAATAATACACTTTACAATTTTTATGCAGTAGATGCCTTGTCTTTGAACATACTCTCATTTATATTTTTAAAAAGGACAACTTTGACCACACAAAATGCATATAATTTTGGTTTTATTAATATTAAAATGTTCAATAAGCATATGAAAGTATACTCAACATTACTAGACATTAGGAAAGTGCAAAAACAAGTCATTACATATTAAAATTTAAGAACATATTTTCATCAAGAGAGATTTTACATATGTATGCTACTTTATTCCCATTAGGACAGCTCTAATTTAGAAAAATAGATAACAATTATTAGGACAGGGAAAAATTGGCACCTTCAGTACTATTAGTATGAATGTAAAATGCCACAGCCATTTTAGACTATATCTTAGCACTTTCTCTAAAGGGTAAAAATAGCATTAGTGTATGACAAGGCATTTTTTTTCAGTAATATAGACAAAGGAAACAAAAACATGCTCATATAAAAACTTCTAAGTTCACAGCAGCACTACTCGTAAAACTCCAAAAGTGAAAACAACCCAATGTCCATCAACTAATGAATAAAAAATAAAAAGTATTATATTCATACAATTGAGTATTTTTTGTCAATAAAAGGAAATGCTGCAACATGAATAAATATTGAAAACATTATGCTAAGTGAAGATGCCGGTCATAATAGGTCACACGTTGTAAGATTCCATTAATATGAAATGCCCAGGAAAGGCAAACCTATAAAGACAGACAAAGATCAGCAGCTGATGGGGACAGAGGCTGAGGGGACGTGAAGTAACTATTAATTTATTCACAGATTCTTCTGAGGATAACAAAATTTCTATTGTTGACCAAGGTGATGGTTTCAAAACTCTCTGAAGATACAAAAAAACCATCGAATCTCATGCTTTAAGAGGGTGAATTCTATGGTGTGAAAATTGATATCTCAATTAAGTGGTTATATTAAAAATCAACTTATGTTCAATAGTCATTAGCACAAGTTTTAAAATTGTGCCATAAATGTTTTATGTACACATATGTGTGTATATATGTATGTATATATGTATATATACATACACATATATGTATATATGCATACACATATATAATTGATAGGTGTTAATATATTTTAGATAAATTCATATATGTGTATATATTAACACCTATCAATTAATAGAAGTATAGGGTCAAAGCTCAAAAGGACAATATACAGGAAAGGATATACTAATCACCAATAATCAAGAACAAGTTAGCATACCTCAGAATAGCATAAATAAAAATCATGAGTAGTTATTGCTGCATACCTCATATTAGAGTTAAAATGAGAACAACATAAAATCCTGAGTGTTAATAAAAATATGCATTAAGAGTCACTTTCACAGGCAGGCAGCATGGTGCTTAAGGGTGCTGGATTCCTACGTGGCTGATCGTGGTTCAAGTCTTAGACCTGGCGGCTTGCTTTCTTGCTTTCCCTCTCTCTCTCTCTCCCTCTCTCTCTCTCTGTCTCTCTCTAATCAAACTAAAATAAATCAATAAAGTTAAATAAAATAATTCTTTAAAAAAAACAGTCATTTTCATATATTGCCAGTTCAAGACTAATTCCGTGTGCTACTTCGTAAAACTCTTTGAAAATGTTAAGTATTAGCTAAGGGGTCAGGTGGTAGCTCAATGTTAGCCCCACTGAAGTCACAAGGGAAAGGTCCTGGATGCACAACCCAGGACCTCACAGGGTATGCCAAGTGTGGGCAGGCATGCTGTGACCCAGCCCTGCTGGGTCTGAAGGTGGATCGTGGCATGAAGACCTTGTTGGTGCAGGCTGTCTCTTTGTCTCTATCTCACTATCTCCCTAATGAGAGAAATTTTGGAAGGAAAAGGTTCTGTGCATAACTCTGTAACCATCAATAAAACAGGTATATAACAATAGAAATACATATAGATGCTCAAAAAGAAAAAAACATCTAGAGCATTCATAAGCCAAGACTGCAAGCAAATTCTCTTAACATTTTAAGTTAGAAAAATATACTTATTATTCACTACAGAACAAAAGTTTGCAGCCTATCTCCAGCGCTTATCCTCTTGCTTAACTGAACTTCATGCCTATTAATTAGTAAATCCCCACTTTCACTTCCCCAAAGCCCCCTGACAACCTTTCCACTCTTTGGTTCTACAATTTTGACAGTTTTAGAGACCTGATACACATAGAATCATGAAGTATTTGTTTATCTGTGACTAGCTTATTTCAATTAGCTCATCAGCATATTAATGAATAATTGTGGTACATTCACAAAATGGAGTCCTCTACAGGAAGACAGAAGCACAAATATGTAATGTCATGCAATCAAAACCAGATATACAGGAGTACAAGCTATGTGATTGCATTTGTTTAATGGGTAAAACCCAGCAAAATTAATCTACACAGTTAGGTTAGGTAGAGGATACTTCAGGAGTTTAAGAGATTTTTCCGTTTATGTTTAAGTCATTGTTATCTGGCTGTGTTCAGTTTGAAAATGAAGGAAGTCTGCTTATAATGTGCATTTCTGGCATGTGTAAAATGCTTTAATAAAAAGTAAAAAGAAATTCTAAGTGCAATGAAAACCAGGTTTTGTTCTCCACAGCTACAGATTAGCACCTAAGCATCATTTCCCAACTCAATTTGAAGACGTGTATAATGCCTTAAGGTGGTTCTTACGCAAAGAAGTTCTTGCAGAGTATGGCGTGAACCCAGAGAGAGTTGGTGTCTCTGGAGATAGTGCAGGAGGGAATTTAGCTGCAGCAGTGACTCAGCAGGTATGATGTTCGTTATTTCTGTGTTTTTAATTTTTTTATTTACGTTTTAAGAATTTTTATTTATTTATTTATTTTTAGAGGTTTTTTTCCTTAGGGCACATGTGCTTGCTGGAGAGAGAGAGAGATAAGTAAGAGGGAGAATGAGAAATCCCCTCCTCCCCTGGAAGATGGCCATGCTGCAGCCCCTTTTGTCCTCCATTCTCCTCCTGGGACATTGAACTTGCACACACATGCTCCCGGCATGATTTTCAAGGCACCAGGTCCAGGTGGCCATGTGGGAGTCCACTAAGTCTACTAATAAATTTATTTACTATATATACTTTATTAAAATAATGCAAATATAAATATAGTAGTTTTATTGAGATACTAGAAAGCATTGAGAAGAAATGCCTAAAACATAAAAACATCAGTCTGTACTCATATGATATTTTTTTGTCTTTCTTAATGAAATGATAATTCTCTGGATAGATTTAAAATTACATAGGTATTGGTGGAATGTTACACTAGTCAGAGGAATTAAATAATGTAATTTTGAGACCAATTATTTTATCATCCTATAAGAGGTCTAAATAGACTTAGTAATCTTTAGTAGAATTGTCCTCTATTGCTTGAATAATTCACTATTTTTGGAAAATTATCAGCACATTCAAAAATTCCTATGCTATTTACGAAGAAGAAATATGATGAATTCAAGAGATTTCTTTGTATGTGTTTGGACAATCAGATCATTTAATGATGATATCATTAGCATTGTAATAACTTACATTTTCATCCTAAGTTATCTGTAGAATGGACTTGGTGTTTGTGACAAAGGAAGAAAACTTCTTTTTTATAATGTTTTTAAATTTTATATTTAATCATTGTATGATTGGTTAAAATCTATTTTCCCAATTATTAGTGAGAGTCAGAAGAAGATGTTTAATTTATGACCTACATATGTAGAAGTTAGATTTTACGGCTTGACCTCAATTATGAACTATAAGTTTAAAGCAACTTTATAATACTGATGTTGTTTTTTATGGTAGTTACATATTTACTACTTTTTCAGACTAAATAATATTTTGACTGCTAGAAGTTAAGTTAGCAATATTCTCAGAAGGCAAGAATATGATGGTAAAGCTTTGTTACAAACATAATTTACAACAGGATATGAAACTTTGCAGGGTAGATTTTTAATCGTTATTGTAGGTTTCATAATATAGCTGAAAATTACTTTACAAAATTATATTGATAATCATATAAGTAGATTTACATAAAAAATACATGGAAATCCACAATGATCTTTATAAACGATCCACAAAATGTTTATTTTGATTATGAGAATAACAAGATACATAAATACTACAATTTGAAAATATTTAGGGTGCATCTAGTACTTTTAGCACTTTTAGGGAGAAATTATATATATTTTACAGTATAATACATTACTTATTTTGAAAACATACAAATTTACATTTAAAATTTTTTTAATTAAAACATATCTTTAGTATATCACTATTATTCATTATATTCTGCCCACTCTGGTATTTATGCAAGTCTTTTTGCCAAACTCTGATTTTTTTAGAGTTATTTTTATTTAATTTTGTTTATTCATTCATTTTATTTTAATTTGACCAGAGAGAGATACACAAAGAGAGAGAGGGAGAGAGAGAGAAAGTGAGAAATCAGGCCACCAGGTCTGGGACTCAAACCATGGTCAGTCATATGGGTGTGTCCAGCGCCTTAACCACCATGCCACCTGCTGGTCCCAGCCAAATACTTATTTTTACGAATATTAGTACATTAGGCTTAACTTAGGAAAAAGCAATGTTAATAAAAAATTTCATTCGGAAAATCTGCCCATGTCACATAGAACAATGTATCACTTTAGCATCAACACCAAGTCCGGGATTTCCATAGGTGATGTTTCCTGTCAATGATAAACCTATTAGTATGCTTATATATTTTAATAAGCTGTTACTTTAAAAAGAAGAGAAATGAGGTCAAATTTATGAAGTTCTTTTGGTTGTCATTCTTGGAAGAAAAGAGAACATTCACTGACTAATTATTGCTTAGATGCTTTTCTATTACCCTTGAGAAGTATAGGAAAGATAATTGTCCTTATGTCAATAGTATCCTTTAATCAAGGAACATCTAGTTCTGGAGACACCTTTTGAACTTTTGAAAATTTGTTGAGCTGGACTATTTCAGTTATTGCTTAAGTATTTTTGAGATTATAATTTTAAATATAGATTATCATACCTTAATTTTATTATTTGAATAATTTGTGTAAATCTTCTTATTTCTCAGCTTTTAGAGGACCCAGATGTGAAGATCAAACTCAAAATCCAGTCTTTAATATATCCTGCCCTGCAGACTCTTGATCTGGATTCACCATCATATCAGGAAAATGCACAGTTTCCATTTCTATCCAAATCATTCATGGTCAGGTTCTGGAGCGAATATTTTACCACGGACAGGTCGCTGGAGAAAGCCATGTTTTCCAACCAACACGTTCCTGTGGAATCCAGTCACCTGTTCAAGTTTGTTAACTGGAGTTCCTTGCTCCCAGAGAGGTTTAAGAAAGGCCACGTTTATAGCAGTCCACGTCAGGGTAGCTCCGAGCTGGCCAAGAAGTATCCAGGGTTCCTAGATGTGAGGGCGGCCCCCCTGCTGGCTGATGACAGCAAGCTGCGTAGTTTACCCCGGACCTACGTCATCACCTGTCAGTATGACGTCCTTCGAGATGACGGACTCATGTACGTCACCCGACTTCAGAACGCTGGAGTTAGGGTGACGCATAACCATGTCGAGGATGGATTCCATGGAGTAGTTTCATTTTTGGATCTTAGAATTAGTCACAGAATGATAAGTCAGTATATTAGTTGGCTCAGGGAAAATCTATAGTACAACTGGTATCAATTACATATTTCAAAAATATTTTTAAAATCAAAGAGACCCCATCTTGGAATTTGATTCTTAGAATGGTCCATGTATAACATAATTTTTATTGTCAATTGTCACTTTTCTGTTTTTCATTCATACTCTGGATGGTTTCATTCAATTTTTTAGTCTATTTGCTATTTTGAGATTTTTTTTCCATTCACATAGTTAATCTTACTTTTTAAAATATTTTCTTTTCTTATATACTCTCTTTTGTGTGTGTTGGCTATTATTTACAACTGCAGGAGGATAAGTGTTAGCAAATATTGCCTGTTTGAGACATGTCAAGATTTTAATCAATATGTAAGTAGAGTCTGAAATGCTCCTAATCACTCATAGGAATTATGTGCTCACTTTTTTCAAAAGCATCTGCCTCATACATTGTCATTTTATTTCCACTGTAAGTATCTTTTCTTCTGGGAAACACTGCTGGAAGCCAGGTCTAAGTATTACACTGGTATGTATTAAGTGGGGACATACAATATCTATCTTTCATAGTCTGGCTTGTTTCACTTAGCAGCAAATCTTCCTTATTCATTCACTTTCTATCAAATGTTCAGATCTCACTGTTCCTTTTAGTTGAGCAGTATTCCAAGAGTACATGTGCCACATTTTTAAAGTTCCCTTGTCTGTTCTTAAACATTTGGGTTGATTCCATGTCTTAGCAATTGTGAATAATGCTGCAATAAACATAGATGTGTTTTCTTGACTGAGTGCTTTCCTATCCTTTGGGTAGATACTTAAGAGTGGAATTACTGGGTCTAACTACCATTAGTTCCATGTGTAGGTTTCTGAGGAACCTCCATAGTGTTCTCCACAGTGGTTGTACTAATTTACGTTCTCATCTGCAATGTATGAGAGCTTTCTTTTCACTGCAGTCTCACCAACACATATTTATTTATTTATTTATTTTAGCCATTCTGAGTAAGGCTAAGTGTTATCTCATTGTGGGTTTGATTTGTATTTGCCTTATGATAAGAGATGTTGAGCATTTTTTTTTCATATGCTTCTCAGCTATTCCTCTTCCTTGAAGAGGTGTCCATTTAGCTTATTTGCCCACCTTTTAATCTAATTGATCTTTTTTCTCCTGGGTAAACTGCTTGAGTTCTCTTTATATTCTAGTTATTAGTCCCTATCTGAGTATCTGAGGAATAGTTTGTAAATATATTCTCCCACTCTGAGGGTTATCTCTTCACCCTAATTATTATTTCTTTTACATGTAGAAGCTTTTTTGTTGTTGTTGTTAGAGAGAGATTTCCTTATAGGACTCACGTACTCACCCGAGAGACACAGAGAGACAGAAAGTGAGAAATCCACCCCCCAAGGGGGATGGCCATGCTGCAATCCCTTCTCCATTATCCTATCAGGACCTTGAGCAGGCACACACACACACACACACACACACACACACACACGCACAGTGTGAGTTTTAAGCCACCAGGTTCAGGACTGAAACTGTGGACAACTATGTGGGAGTCCAGTGGCATAGCCATTATGCCATCTTCTGGTCCAACCATGAAGAACCTTTTTAGCCTCATGTAATCCTACTTTTGGGTACTACAGGTCTATTTTCAGGATGATTGTCTGTGCTTTCAGGGTCTTATTTCAAATGTCTTTGCCTACTCCAATGCCTCCAAGAGTTTCCTCTGTGTTATCCACCGGTATTTTTATAGTTTAAGGTTTTATGTTTAGATCGTTGATCCATTTTGAGTTGACTTTTGTTAATGGTGAGAGATGCAGATATCTAGTTTTTCTAACACCATGTGCTAAAGAGTTTTTCTTTTCCTCACTAGATTGTCTTGTTCCCTTTGTTGAAAATCAGTTGGCTGAATGGTAAGGTTTATTTCTGGGTTCTCAATTCTGTTCCATTGGTCTATTTACCTGTATTTGTGCCAGTACCATGCTATTTTGATTAACACAGCTTTTGCATTATATTTTGAGATCAGGAAGTGAGATACTTCCTACTTTATTCTTTTTGCACAGCATTGCTTTGGTGATCCAGACAAATGATACCCAACAAATTTTATAATTTTTTTTTATATTTCTGTGAGGAATATCTCTGGTCATTGGGTCAGAATTTCATTGAATTTGTAGATTAATTTGGGTAGGATTCACATTTTGATTATATTTCTTTCTCTGATTCAGGACCAAGGGATACCTTTCTTTCTACTTTTTGTATCACTTTCAATTTCTTTTTTAAAGTTTTTTTATAGCTTTCTTTACAGACATCTTTCACTTGTTTGGTTGTTTTTTTTCCTAGGTATCTTAAATTTTTTGTTACTATTGTAAATGATATTGCTTTCTTCAATTTTACCTCAGTTTGTTTAATGCTGTAGATTTTTGTATGTTGATTTTGTATCCTGCCACTTTACTGGTTTACTTTATCACTTCCAGGATATATCTATATATCTATATCTATATTATTTTCTAGGTCTACAATTATATTACCTACAAATAGAGATCATTTTAATTCTCCTTTTCCTATATGAATGTCTTTTATTTGACTCTCTTGTCTGATTGCATTGGCTAGAACATCTAGTACTATGTTGACAAGGAATGGAGAAAGTGGGAAGACTTGTATTGTTCCAGTTTTTAGTGGAAAAGCTTTTAGTATGATGTTAGCTGTGGGTTTGTTATAGATGGCTTTTTTTGTATTGAGGAATATACCTTTTGCCAATTTTGATGAGAGTTTTAATCATGAAGGGATATTGTATTTTACCAAATGGTTTTTCTGAATCAATTGATCATATAGTTTTACATCTTTCCTTATTCGAAGGTAATATATTACATTTGTTGTTTTGTATATATTGAACCACCCTGAATACAGGTGCAAAAGATCTCAATAAAATACTACCAAATCATATCTCAAAGTGCATTAAATAGATTATATACCATTACCATGTCAATTTTATTCCAGGGACCCAACTTGGTTCAAGCAGCCTGGTTAGAGACTCAAACTGTGCAGATGGCCATATAGGATCCAGCCACCTTATCCTCCATGCCACCTGCTGGCCCTGTCAAAGATATCTTTTACTCTAATATGGTACACTATTCCATCACCCTTTGATTACATGCATTTTTCTTTCTGTTAATCATTTCTCCCTATTTGCATTTTAAATATTTTGTATCACTTGATGCTCAAAATTCCTAATGTAAACATTATTACAATAATTCCAATACACAGATGAAAAAACAAGGCAAAGAGATCGTATTTAACTTCTGCAAAACCAATTAACCTTAAAGATAAAATTTAAACCAAATCTTATATCTCCATAACCCTCATTTTTATTCATTCTGATAGTGTAGAATTGACTAGAAATCCAGTAATAGCAACTGTGTTCTTACGATGTCGTGTTTTGAGCCAGCTGTAGTGATGTAACAGTAGCACACTACTCTGGGGTTCTGGATCCATATGAAAGGCTGGGGTTCACTCCTGGGCCAACTGTTCGGACCAGGCAAGCATACTGGGGCACATGGTCTGGTCTGGCTAGAAAGGCTGGGAGCTGGAGGCATTGTGGCATGCAATTCTGTTGAGGATGGCTTTTTTTTTTTTTCTCTCCGGAAATAAATAATTTTTTTAAAATGATGTCATATTTTAATTTTATTAAAATGTTATAATGACACCATATTGTTAGTTGTTACTTTCACCACTATATCATCTTTTCTCTTTAACTATACTGAGAAGACTCATTTTCCCTATCCTCACTTTTTCTATACTCTGTTACAAAATTTTATTTGAACTATAGGTGCAATTTGAACCACTATAGCTCTACTTATAAATATAACTAATTACAATGGAATATGAAAATATGATAAGAACTTTGGCTTAAACCCAAATCTACATAGAACCAGTACTTGGTTTACATGATAACAGATTCTAACAAGTCTAATAGCTGTCTGTCTTCATAAATAATAACTATGCAAAACTAAAAAAAATAGAATACTATTTTAATTGACAAGTGAATTGACAGTTGTTTATTTGAATAGAAATCTTATCATATTTTATATTTCTGTAGAATGAGAAATACACAGTGAGATCCCTATAGTAGAAGCCATCTATTTTGTTTTTATATTCTTATAACTGAAAGTTTGTGGCTCACTAAATTGCCCAAAAGAAAATAAATTAATGCGAGATTAATGGTATCTATAGACCAGGAAGAGGTTAGCAAAGTCTGTTCTCAATCAATTGCTTCTAATTTAGTTGGACAACCAGGGTGACCTGGATAATTAACATTCTGGATATTTCAGCATTTTTGCGAGTAAATGTTGAAAGGAACACTCAAAACTTGTATTTCTAGGCTCCTCCTTTTATTGTAAATGTTTCAGATTAAAAACTAAAAGGAGGGCCAGCCAGTGGTTTGGTAGTTAGGGTTGCTGGATGTCACATGGCTGAATGTTTCATTTGAGTCCTGGGTCTGGTGGTTTGAAAAATATACTGGGCATGTGTACATACACGCCGAGAATATCAAAAGGAGAATGGAGAAGAAGGGATCGTGGCATGGTCATCCCCCCTAGGGAGTGAGTTCTCACTTTTCCTTTTTCTCTTTCTCCTCTCTGGTGAACACATGAAAAAAAAAAAAAAAGAGGAAAAGAAAAATAAAACTAAAAAGAACATATGGGAAAGAAAGACTGATACAGGCCAGGTAACACTACAGTGGTAGCACAACTGAACCCATGGGGGAAAGATCCTCGGGTCATATCTAAGGACCTCCCTGAACACAGCAGATGTGTGCCTGTGATTAGGCCAACGGAAACAAAAAGTGGATCTCTGCATGAGGATCCTGTTGTGTCTGTCTCTCTCATGTTTGTGTGCATTCATGCTCTAATGGGAAAAAAATTAATTTTTTTAAAAAAGAAAAAGACTGGTAAAGGGCCAGCCTATTGCATAGTGGTTAAGGCAGCTGGATCCCACATGGCTAAAAGCATGGATCAAGCCTCAGATCCAGTGGCTTGGAAAACACACTGCATGTATGCGTGTGTGCTCTAGCTTTTAATTTAATTTATTATTATCGTAATATTTTTTATA